TCGTCACGCGGATGGTAGAACATACAGTAGAAGCCAATAAAGAGGGTTAACGCCATCTCGCAGGTTTCAGGTGGTGGTGATGACGATGGTGATGGCTTTTTTCAGACAAATCAGGGTGTCCACCTTCCTAGTTTTTCTTTTAACGAAGTAAAGTATGAACTCGTGCTTCCGTTGCCTTTTACCTGCTAGAAAGTCCTAACTGACTATTCTCCTGATGGAACTATGCTATTTTTCAAATTCGAGCTTTCGTGCAAATGGCTGGTTGAAAAAAGCCATACTTTGGCAAAAATAATTATTCCTAACGAGCCATCTTTGACGCTTTAACGAGGATTGTAATTGTTTTGATGTAAATAAAACGTATTACTTAAGCGACTGCTCATCAACGGGAACTTCCGATTGGTCAAGTTTTTGATGATGTTGATTTTCGAATGCAGACCTTCAAGTGGAGGGGCGCACCTTACCACAAATGGCTGGTTCCAAAAAGGCATACCTTAGTAAAAGTGATTATTCTTACCGAACCTTCGTTAGCGCCTTTTCGAGGATTGTAATTGTTTCGATACAAGTTAGACCCATGGTAAGGGGCCGTATTACTTAAGCAATGACTTCACCTCAGACACCCGACTGGGAACATTCTGAATTCAAGGGTATGGGAGGTACCCCTAGACTACCTATCCTTTCTATCATACTTGGAATATTTTCTTAGCGGACTTTGATATCTTGTTGCACAGTTGGGGAGTTCAGACTTGATGATGGCGCCTAACGCCTCCTAACTGTTATAAACTCGACCGTAGGCACTCCGTTACGTAATTTATTTGTAATTGTGCTGCCTATGCATCGTTCTCAGTAGTGGGCCTTTTGTATTGAATATGCATATAAAGTGAATCCTTTCTGCCTTCTGCACCGGTAGCACTCGGCCAGCCTAGATCCCTCCGCGGAGTTGCCTGCAGCCATCCGTTGCTCCTACGAACGTCTTCTTCCGGACTCTGCCTACTTCATTCACAACGGCATTCTGGCCCTCCTGTGGTTGGGCCCCAAAATTGATCCCGCCTGGATCCAACAGATCTTCGGAGTGAACGACGTGTCAATGCTGGAGAGCGAGAAGGTGAGTCGGCCCTCAGCCTTTTCCCGGCGCCTACACACATGCCCTCCCCCATCAACGACTGCATTAGCCTTCGCGTATTTTGTCGCCTTGTGAGATGATCTTGCCTTACTCATGCACCGTGCTCTCTTCCCTTTGCAGGCGAAACTGGTGGAGCAG